TGTGAATGACTTTCTTGACTTGCTTTCAAAAATAGGGGTTACTCCCTCTATTTATAACTGAGCTTATACCCTAAGCCCAAAGCCCAAAATATCTTTTTGTTACTAAATCAAATCTAATTTATTCTAGACTTAAATCAAATTTATTTAAATCTAAAACAAATCAAATCTTTTCGACACATAGTTTCGACACATTGGATTACAATTTAACACACCACCTAATTCATTGTGTCTAAACTATCTATGTTCATCATGGCTCTTAGCTTTCTGAATACTTCGACTTGCACTCCCTTCGTCATGATGTCTGCAATCTGATTCTCAGTTCTGCAGTGTTCCAAATTCATCTTCCCATCTGTTACTTGCTCTCGAAGATAATTGAACCTCATTTCGATGTGCTTACTTCGACCATGTGCTATTGGGTTCTTCGCCAGATTAATAGCTGACATGTTGTCTATCTTCATGGTAATTGCTCCATGATTTTTCCCTGTTATCTCTTCGACCAAGTTCACCATCCAAGTTGCTTGACATGCACAAAGAGAAGCAGCTATGTATTCTGCTTCGCATGATGATAATGCCACGATTGGTTCCTTTCTTGAATTCCAAGCAACTGGTGCACCACCTAGCATAAACACAAATCCCGCTGTTGACTTTCGATCTTCAGCATCACTACACCAACTCGAATCAGTGTATCCCACTAAGTTGCATTCTTTTCCTTTATCAACTGCAGGAAACAAAATGCCATAATCGAAAGTTCCTTTGAGATACCTTAGTATCCTCTTCACTGCTGCTAGATGTGATACCTTTGGCTTCTGCATGAATCTACCTACCATACCTACACTATATGCTAAGTCAGGCCTTGTATGACAAAGGTATCTCAATGATCCAATAAGTCTTCTGTATTGAGTTAGATCAACATCATCTTCATCTGCATCTTTTGACAGTTGCAGTCTTGGTTCTGCAGGTGTCGAAGTTGAGTTGCATTCTTCCATCTCAAACCTCTTGAGAATTTCTCCTGCATATCTTCTTTGATGCACCATCAAACCTCTATTGCTCTTGTAGAATTCGATACCAAGGAAATATGAAATCTCACCCAAATCAGAAATTTCGAATTCCTTACTGAGATCACCTTTGAAGTCTTCGATCTCACTTTTACAGCTACCTGTTATCAACAAATCATCTACATAGAGACATAGTATAAGCAATTTACTCTTGCTTCTTCTTACATATACTTCATGTTCAGTTGTGCACTTCACAAATTCCTTCTCCCTTAGAAAACTATCAATTTTCTTATTCCAAGCCCTTGGAGCTTGTTTCAATCCATACAGGGCTTTATGTAGCTTGTACACCTTTCTTTCTTCGTCATGTTTCACAAACCCAACTGGTTGCTTAACATAGACTTCTTCATCTAAGGGTCCATTTAGGAATGCACACTTCACGTCCATCTGACATATGTGCCAACTATTTATTTATGCTAGACCAACAACCAACCTGATTGTTTCGATCCTAGCAACAGGTGCAAAAACTTCATCGAAGTCTATTCCTTCTTTCTGTAGAAATCCTTTCGCCACAAGTCTTGCTTTGTGTCGAGTTACTTCACCTTTCGAATTCGTTTTCACTTTGTATACCCACTTGACATCAATTATCTTCTTGCCTTGAGGCAATTCGACAAGTGACCAAGTGTTGTTGTCTTCGATAGACTTTACTTCTTCGTTCATTGCTTTCACCCACTTCGAATCTTTTAATGCTTCAGCTGCATTAACAGGTTCGACATCTGCATAGAAAGCATAATGTACCAGCTCACCTTCATTATCTATTACATCATCTGATGTAATCACACAATCTTGCAATCTTGCAAACATGCATCTTATTCTTTGAGGACTGCTTATAATTGGTATATCTGCTGGTTCCTCTTGTCGAACTTCTCTTTCGACTTGAGTTTCTGGCTCTTCAAGAAGGATTCCCACTGAATCTTTCTTGATATTTTCAGTCCAATCCCATTCTTTAAACTCATCTATGATCACGTCCCTGCTGATTACAATCTGCTTTTCACTGGATCGAACAACTTGTAGCCTCCTGTCAAATGATATCCAACTAGAATCATTTGACTTGACTTATCATCAAGTTTTCTTCTCAACTGATCTGGCACATGTCTATGTGCAATAGATCCAAATACCTTCAGATGACTCAAGCTAGGCTTCACACCAGACCAACATTCTTCTGGAGTAATTCCTTCTAGCTTCTTTGTAGGACATCTGTTCAAAATGTATGTTGCAGTCGAAACAACTTCACCCCAAAACTCTTTAGGTAAATTCTTGCCTTTCAACATACTTCTCACCATATTCATGATGGTTCAATTTTTCCTTTCTGCAATTCCATTTTGTTGTGGAGTATAGGATAGCACCATCTCATGCACAATCCCTTCCTTTTCACATAATCTGTCGAAGTCTTTCGACACATATTCTCCACCACCATCAGTTCTCAAAACTTTGAGCTTTCGACCACTTTGTCTTTCGACCATAGACTTAAACTTGGTAAATACTTCGATCACTTCACTTTTCTTCTTGATCAGGTAAGTCCATAGCTTTCGACTAAAATCATCTATGAATGTAATAAAGTATTTGTTACCTCCCATCGAATCCACCTGGATTAGTTCACATACATCAGAGTATATGACTTCAAGACTAGCCTTCGATCTGCTTCCTGCATCCTTGCTGAAGCTATTCTTGTGTTGCTTCGCCTGCACACATTCCTCACATACCTCGTTTGGAATGTCAATTTCTGGCAATCCTGAAACCATATTTCTTCTCTTCAAATCTCTTATGTCTCTGAAGTTGAGATGGCCTATTCTATAATGCCATATCCATTCATCTCTGCTAGCTGCAGTCGAAAGGCACTTGTGCTCCATCACATTTAGTTCAATCTTGAAGGTTCGATTCTGAGACATAGGAGCCTTCAAGATTAATCTCCCATTTGCATCAACGACTCTCATCATCTTATCTTCGATTGACACTTTATAATTCTTTTCGACCAACTGCCATATACTGAGCAAATTGCTCTTCATGCCTGGTATGTACAACACATTGGAAATTACTGACCTTTTGCCATCTTTCCTCATAATCATAACATCACCAATACCTTCAGCTGCTAGGGTATTGTCATTTGCAAATTTTACCATATTTTTCATTGAGGGCTTTATATTGACGAACCAGTCTTTCCTTCCAGACATATGTGATGAACATCCTGAATCCAAGTACCATTGGTCCTTGAATCTATCTTCATCTCTTGTTGTGACCATCAGTATCATCTTTTCTTCTTCTTCATGTTTTGTAAGCTTTGCATCACTTTCTTGATTCTTTCGTTTTTCTGGACAATCACTCGAATAGTGACCATACTTCTGATAATTGTAACATTGAATGTGACTCTGATCAGGTTTTCGACCAACACCTCTTCCTCTATTTGCAACACCACCTCTTTGGTTGCCTTGGTATGGTCTTCTTTGATTCGACACGTATCCTTCAATCTGGTTTCCTCTACCATTCGATTTGTTGTAGCCACCTCTACCTCTGTCGAAACACTTTCCTTTGCCTTTGGTCTCTTTTGCTGAATGTGCCTGAAAGGCCACATCACTCTTTGATTTTCCTGCAGCTCTTTCGTTCATTCTTTGTTCATGAGATTCAAGCGTCCCTTGAAGCTCTTCCTTTGTCAATTTAGACAAGTCTTTCCCCTCTTCTATCGCCACCACTATGTGGTCGAACTTAGGAGCTAAAGATCTCAAGATCTTCGACACAACAGCTCTTGTTGTTAACGCTTCTCCACATATCTTGATTTGATTTACTAGTTTTGTAACTCTAGTGAAGAAATCAGATATGCTTTCACTGTCTTCCATCTGAAGCCGTTCATAGGTCCTTTTGTGAGTTTGTAACCTCACTTCTTTCACTTTCTCAGCGCCTCCAAAAGACTTCTCAAGGATTTCCCAAGCTTCTTTTGCAGATTCTGAATCACTAACCTTTTCGAAATTGTCTGGGCTGACACATTGATGAATTATAAATAATATTTTATAACTAAGCTTCTCAGATTCTATGTATTTCTTCTTTTCTTCTTCTGAAGCGTTTTCTCTAAGCGCTTCGACTCCATCTTTTACAAGGTCTCAAAGACCTTGACACCTGAATAAGACTTTCATCTGTTTGCACCAATTCTCATAGTTGTCAACTTTCAGAATTGGTAGGGTTGCTGGATAATTTGCATTCACATAACTTGTCATCGTGAATTCTTCAATCGTTCTTGATTGACACTTCCCTTGAATCAAAACAAAGCTCTTGATACCAGATGTTGGAAATCCACCAAATTCTATGATGAATTTCTACCACAATGACAATTTAATTATGAGACAAACAAAGAAAAGAAGACAAGACAAATAATTTCTGCAGAGTTTCTCTCTGCTCACAAACTGTGAAAACTTTCTTATTCACTTTGCAACTGCAAAATACTGTGAATGACTTTCTTGACTTGCTTTCAAAAATAGGGGTTACTCCCTCTATTTATAACTGAACTTATATCCTAAGCCCAAAACCCAAAATATATTTTTGTTACTAAATCAAATCTAATTTATTTTAGAAATAAATCAAATCTATTTAAATCTAAAACAAATCAAATCTTTTCGACACATTGGATTACAATTTAACAGTTTCCAGTTAATTATTTTTAACAATATAGTCATTTATTTTTTATCTGCTTAGATTCTTTATTTTTTTAAAAGTGGTCAGAGTTTTAATTTTGTTTTTAAGATGTATTTGTGATAAACTAAAATATGTAATTGGTTAGTATGGAGTGCTGCTTTCTAAATTTCCACATAGAAGAAAAGTATGGAGTGTTATTTTCCACCGTTGAATGGAAGAAGTGAGACACAGTCTTTTTCCACAAAACTTCTCTAATACGTTTGCAGCTTTAAACAACATCCATAAGAATACCATTTGTCTCATAACTAAGAGCAATAAGAGATAACAATGAGAACTATTTTACTTTCATTCCTTCTTTGCTACTGCTTCATATATCATACTCTTGCTTCTGCCAAATGTCTCCATGATCAACAATCATTGTTGCTCCAACTAAAAAATAATCTCACATTTTATCCACAAAGTTCCACCAAACTTAAATTCTGGAATGCAAGCATTGATTGCTGTGATTGGATTGGTGTAAATTGTGACAATAAGGGATTTGTTATTGGCCTTGATCTGAGTGAAGAATCAATCTCTGGTGGATTTGATACTGCAAGTAGTCTTTTTAGTCTTCAACGTCTTCAAAAATTGAACTTGGCTGTTAACAATTTCAATTCTGTTATTCCATCAGGATTCGACAAGTTGGAGATGTTGAATTATTTGAATTTGTCATATGCTAGCTTTGTGGGGCAGATTCCTATAGAGATTTCCCAGCTTACAAGGTTGGTTACTCTTGATATATCTTCTCTTAGCTATTTATTCCGACAAGGGTTGAAACTTGAGATACCAAATTTACAGAAGTTTGTTCAAAATTTGACTAGTCTTAGACAACTGTATCTAGATGGTGTATTATTACATGCTCAGGGAAATAAATGGTGCAATGATTTGTCGTCGTTGTATGACCTGCAAGAGTTGAGCATGTCTTACTGTGATCTATCAGGACCACTTGATTCTTCTCTAACAAAACTAGAGAACCTATCAGTAATTATTCTTGATGGGAATGATTTTTCATCACCTGTGCCAGAAACATTTGTGGATTTTAAAAATTTGACCACCCTTAGTCTTGCATTTTGCAGATTGAGTGGTACATTTCCACACAAGATATTTCAAATTGGAACGTTGTCTATTATTGACTTATCGTTCAACAACAATCTCCATGGTTCATTTCCAGAATTTCCGTTGAGTGGATCTATACACACTTTAAGGGTAATAAACACAAGCTTTTCTGGAGAAATTCCATACACCATTGGTAACTTGAGGCAATTATATGAATTGGATCTTTCCAATTGTCAATTTAATGGAACACTTCCCAATTCACTATCAAACCTTACAGAACTTAGATACATAGATTTGTCGTCTAATAGCTATACAGGTCCAGTGCCATCATTTTACATGGCCAAAAAACTTACACACCTAGACCTCTCTCATAATCATTTAAGTGGTGAAATCCCAACATCTTCTCACTTTGAAGGACTGCACAATCTAGTCAACATTGATTTGTGTGATAATTCTATCAATGGGAGCATTCCTTCATCTCTTTTTTCACTTTCTTTACTACAAAAGATTCAACTTTCATCCAATCAGTTTAGTAAATTTGACAAATTGATAAATGTGTCTTCCTCGGTAATTCACACCCTTGATTTGAGTAGCAATATTCTATCAGGGCCTTTTCCAATGCCTATCACTCAGCTTCATTCACTTTCTGTCCTCGATCTTTCCTCTAACATGTTGAATGAGTCACTAAGCCTAGATGAGCTTTTGGAGCTTAGAAGTTTAACTACACTAGACCTTTCATACAACAATTTATCAATCAATGTGAATGTTGAAAATGCTGATCATACTTCCTTTCCCAATATTAGCACTCTAAGTTTAGCATGCTGCAATCTGACAACTTTTCCAAGTTTCTTGAGAAACAAATCCAGATTAACCATTCTAGACCTTTCAAAAAATCAAATTCAAGGAAAAGTGCCCAATTGGGTATGGAAGCTACAAAATCTTCAAAGCCTGAATGTTTCGCACAATATGCTCACTGGTTTGGAAGGACCTTTGCAAAACCTCACTTCCAACTTGATATCCCTTGACCTTCATAACAACCAATTGAAAGGGCCAATTCCTGTTTTTCCTAAATATGCTTCCTATTTGGATTACTCAATGAACAAATTTAGCTCTTTTATCCCACAGGACACTGGTAACTACTTGACTTTCACAACTTTTCTCTCACTTTCTAATAATACTTTACATGGCAGTATCCCTGAATCCCTCTGCCATGCCCCAAATCTCCAAGTTCTTGATATTTCCATGAATAACATTTCTGGAATGATTCCCTCATGTCTAATGACAATGACTCAAACCCTTGTGGTATTAAATCTGAAGATGAACAATCTCACTGGCCATATCCCAGACGTGTTCCCAGCTTCTTGTGCTCTAAGGACTCTTGATCTTCAAAAGAATAATTTAGACGGACAGATTCCAAAATCTCTTGTGAAATGTTCATTATTAGAAGTGTTAGATCTTGCACATAACAACATCAACGACAAATTTCCATGCTTGTTCAAGAACATATCCAAAATCCGTGTCATAGTCCTGCGCAGTAACAAATTCTATGGACCCATCGGATGCCCAAAGACAAATGGCACTTGGCCCATGCTTCAGATAGTTGACCTAGCCTTCAACAATTTCAGTGGTAAACTACCTGGAAAATGCTTCACAACATGGGAGGCAATGAGATATGATGAAAACCAAGCTGATTCTAAGGTAAACCACGTCCGATTTCAGGTTCTCCAATTTGGTCAGATATATTACCAGGATTCAGTGACAGTTGCAAGCAAAGGGCAACAACTGGAGTTAGTTAAAATTATTTCAATATACACAACCATTGATTTCTCATCCAATCATTTTGAAGGACCTATACCAAAGGTTTTGATGGAATTCAAAGCACTTTACATTCTCAACATTTCAAACAACCATTTCTCAGGTGAAATCCCTTCTTCTATAGGGAACATGAAACGATTAGAGTCATTAGACCTTTCAAATAACTCATTGGTTGGTAAAATTCCTGTGCAGCTAGACAGCTTGTCCTTTCTTTCTTATTTGAATCTTTCCTTCAATCATTTGGTGGGTAAGATCCCAACAGGTACTCAACTTCAGTCATTTCAAGCTTCTTGCTTTGAAGGGAATGGTGGACTATATGGTCCTCCATTGACTGAAATACCAGATGATAAGACGCCAGATGAGCTGCACCCTGAAATTGTATGTGGGAGGCTAGCCTGTTCTATAGACTGGAATTATTTAAGTGTAGAACTGGGATCTGTTTTTGGTCTTGGAATGGTCATTTTTCCTCTCATGTTTTGGAAGAAATGGAGGATAAGGTATTGGAAACTTGTGAATAAAATTCTTTGCTGGATATTTCCAAGGATGTATCTTGAATATGTAACCCACAGAGGACAAGCATACATAGTTTTAAGGTGGCATTAGTGATTAGTGACTGTGCTAATCTGCAAAGTAGTATTTTCCATTTTCAACAAATCTTGTTTTTTAAGTGTGGAACTTAGATAAGATTTCTAGCTTAATTACACTGGACTTTTACTGCATCTACTTATTTTGAGTTTAGATCTTTCACGTGACAAGATTCATGGAAGAGTTCTCAACTGGATTTGAAAACTACAAAATCTTAGGAGTCTTAATATATATAATGGCCATTTAACCTGGGCCTTTTTTATTAACTCATCAATTCATAAACAGAGTAGAAATGGGTGTAAATTTAAAAAGAAATTACCAGAAATAAGAATAATTCATGCTGTTGAAGATTAGCAGATATCAAATCATAATCATTTGATTCTGATTTGTCAACCTGTTACAAAACAGTGGTGTAAATAGATTTATTATCTATTATTCTGATTTTCTTATTTAGGTAACAACAATTATAGGAAATTATTTCTCTGTTTATTAACAAATTAGTGTACTGTATTCTATATATACCTCACAATGTAACAGTTCCAATATAATGACATATACAACGTATTTCTATATGGTATCAGAGCATAAGATCTGAACCATCCCTAAACCTTGAGCACCACCCATGGCAGATACTAAAGCAGAAAATTCAGCCAACAATTTGACCGAAGGACATGCTCTTCCTATCACTGGTCACAAACTGAATGGCCAGAATTACAATCAATGGGTGCGCTCAGTCAAAATCTACCTTCAAGGAAAAGGGAAGGATGGTTATATCACAGGAGACTCCAAGTGTCCAAAAAAGGGGGATTCCAACCTTGAAAAATGACAACTAGAAAACAGTCTAGTAATGTCATGGCTGCTAAACACCATGACAAATGAAATTGGAGAAAATTTCTTGTACTATGATACTGCCAAAGAGATGTGGGATGTCGTAAAGGAAACCTACTCTAATGTCGACAATACATCTGCAATATTTGAAATCAAAAGCATACTCCATGACTTGCGTCAAGAAGACCGCTCAGTCACAGAGTATTTTAATACTCTCAATCGTCACTGGCAGCAACTGGATGTATATGATGAAGCTGAATGGAGCTGCACATAGGATAAAAAGAAGTACAAAGAATTGGTGGAGAAAGATAGAATCTACAAATTTCTCTTAGGTTTGAACATAGAACTTGATGAAGTTCGTGGGAGAATCCTTGGAACCAAACCTCTTCCAAAAATTCGAGAAGCATTCTCGGAAATACGAAGAGAGGAAAGCAGGAGAAAAGTGATGCTTGGAAAATCTAGTGCAGCCCCATCTATAGAAGGATCTGCAGTGGCAGCAAGGGGAGATCATCGATCTTTCCAAAAGAAAACACGGCCATGGTGTGACCACTGCAAGAAATTGGGTCATACCAAAGACACATGTTGGATCATTCATGGAAAGCCATCAGAGCTAAAATGGAGCAAAAACCGGGACAGCAGAGGGAACACAGCTGAGGTAAATTCTCACTCATCACCATTCAACAAGGAGCAAATGGAAGCCTTACAAAAATTGCTTCAACAAACAATTGGTACAGCTACTGTGGCACAAAAAGGTAATTTTTTGCATGCTCTAAACACTAGCAGGGGAAAAAAATCATAGATTATTGACTCAGGAGCATCTGATCACATGACTGGAGATTTGACTGTCTTTGATAGCTATTCTCCATGTCAAAATAATTCGACTGTTTGAATTGCTGATGGTACCCTTTCTAAGGTCATGGGTAAAGGTTCAGTCATTATTTCGCAAAATATTACTCTTAGTTCAGTACTGTATGTGCCTAAACTTGATTGTAACTTGCTGTCCATAAGTAAACTTACAAAGGATTTGAAGTGTATCACTAAATTCTTTCCTAACCTGTGTGAATTTCAGATTTTGGAGTCGGGGAGGACGATTGGAAATGCTAAAGAATGTGCTGGACTCTATATCCTTCAGGCTGAAGCATCTAAACCAGAATTCGAGGCAACCTCTTGCGCTGTAGTTTCTGCATGTAGTGAAAATTCTGCAATGCAATGGCACTATAGACTAGGCCACCCAAATTTTATGTACTTGGAAAAAATGATTCCTAAACTATTCAATAAAAATCAGAAGTTGTTTCAATGTGAAATTTGTCAATTGTCCAAACATACACGCAACCCCCACCCACCTCAACCCTATAAATCTTCCCAACCTTTTTATGTTATTCATAGTGATGTATGGGGACCATCGCGGGTCAGAAATGTAACTGGAGCAAGATGGTTTGTCACATTTATTGATGACCACACACGGATCACTTGGGTCTACCTTATGAAAGATAAATCAGAAGTTGGTAGGATATTTGAATGTTTCCATACCATGGTGCAAACACAATTTCAAAGCAAAATTAGAGTGCTTAGGAGTGATAATGGTCGTGAGTACTATAATTTTGCACTAAGCTCATACTTTACGCAACATGTAATAATACACCAAACCTCGTGTGTGGATACACCTCAGCAGAACGGGGTTGGCGAGAGAAAGAATAGACACCTCCTAGAAGTAACCTGATCTCTCATGCTAGCTACAAATGTACCTAACCAGTTTTAGGGAGAAGCTGTCCTCTCTGCAACCTATCTAATAAACAGAATGCCTTCCCGAATCCTTAACTTTCATACGCCTTACTCCACTCTCCAAACCTTATACCCAACCAATCATATTCTTACATCTATTCCTTTGAAAATATTTGGATGCACAACCTTTGTCCATAATCTTGATCCCCAACGCAGTAAACTTGACCCGAAATCCATTAAATGCATATTCCTCGGCTACTCTCCTCACCAAAAGGGATACAAATGTTATTCACCTCAAAACAAAAAATTCTACCACACCATGGATGTAACCTTTTTTGAGAATCAGCCATATTACCCCAAAGTTGGCATTCAGAGGGAGAACACATATCCAATTGAAGTGGTAGAATCCCAACTTTTGGAACTTGAGCTAACTGAACCCAAACTCACTGCAGAGGCATCAAAACCTACACCTGAACCAAATGAAAATGCAACAGAAACTGCAGAACTTACATGTGGACCAGAAGAAACTACGTTAGAAAATACAGAGGAAATTGTAGTAGAAATGCAGCCCCTACAATAGAAACTGCACCAGGAAACAACATGAAAGTGTACTCCAGGAAGAACAAGAAGGGAATAGAGTCCTGCACAACTCCAAGGCAGAACCAAGAAACCTCCAAGACTCCAGAAAATGCCGTTTCCTCAGGTAATACTGCTCCTAACTTTGTGAATGTTGATATTGATATTCCTATTGCATTGAGAAAAATGTAAGATCCTGTACCAAACATCCCATTGAAAGATTTGTATCTTATGGAAAATTGTCCCAAAGTTACAAGACTTTTGTAACAGCTCTTGACAATACACATATTCCAAGCAACATCCATGAGGCACTCCAAAATTCTGAATGGGCAGCAGCTGTAACGGAAGAGGTTCAGGCCTTAATTAAGAATGGCACTTAGGAAATCACAAGCCTACCTGCAGGGAAGAAGCCGGTAGGATGCAAATGGATATTCTCCATGAAGTATAATGCAGATGGGAGTGTAAATCGGTACAAAGCTCGACTTGTAGCAAAGGGATTTACTCAATCATATGGAGTAGATTATGAAGATACTTTTGCACCGGTGGAAAAACTAAACTCCGTTAGAGTTATTCTCTCTTTGGCTGCAAATTTAGATTGGCCACTCCATCAACTAGACATCAAGAATGCCTTCTTAAATGGTGATGAAATTCTGGAAACAGATACTTAATGTCACAGTGAATGTTATGACACCGTATCTGACAAACTTGTACACACTTCAAGACAGTAATTTAAAAACAATAAAGAACACAATCAATTGTTAACCCAGTTCAGTGTGTAACAACACCTACTCTGGGGGCTACCAAGCCAGGGAGGAAATTCACTATAAGAGATATTAATTTAGGAATAAACCAACCAGTTTATCTCCTTCACTTAAGACCTACCCAATGCAACTTCAATCTAAGTTCAACTTAAACCCGAGTTCCTACTCACTCCCCCTCAATCACAGCAGTGATACTAAACTATTGATTAATGAGATTATGAAGACATTCTTCAATACACACACATTATTTTGCTTCAAAGCTTTAATCAAGAGACACAAACACTCGTGCTTCAAAGCTTTGAGTGATAAACAACCCTTACAATCAAATCCTACTCCAAGTCACTTATCAAAACGATAATTGCTTGGCTCATAGTAGTTACAACTATACAATCCCTTATTGATCTTCTGTCAAAAAGTGTACCAGTCCATTAGGATTCGTGAGAAATATATAAGCAGACTATTCCTCATTTAGGGCTTCCATAAAAATAGCTAGGGTTAACTAAAGTTAACCTAAAGACTTGGTCTAGGGCTTTTTCGTAACAGATTAGGGTTAAGCAAGGTTAACCTAATGTCCACGTGAGCAGCTGATCTGGACAATAATTCTTCAACTCAGTGCAGCACACCAATTTCCTGAAAAATCTCAGGAATAATAAATCTGCACAACAACTTGATCAGTACAGGATGTCTTAACATTGGTTATGACATCATGTATCTTGCTCACTGATTTTGGTAGAATTCAATATATATGATCATAGCTTAATGATCATGATAATCACTCATACTGAGTAGTTCCTGTAGGACATTCTTTTATGCAGAATGTACCTTTATCCCAGAATGTTATGACATCAGTCATGACATTCGCAAATCTGGTTTTACCAAAAAAATGCCAACAAACAAACACTTACAAACTCCCCCTTTGGCAAATTTTTGGCTAAAACCCCTAAACAATCAAAGATTAGAATGCAACAGAATTTTTAATAACAGCCACCAATATCTAATTCTACCAAAAATACCACAATTTCTTCTCCCCCTTTTTAGCTATAAAGAGGCCAAAGATACTTGTACTTTAAGTTATACAGTCATAGAAATAAAGAGAAGGCATTATTTGGCAGCAACAAGTTCCAGCAGCAA